TCTGTACTGCCGCAGAAAGTCGGGCGGGATATCCAGAGTAAAACATGCAGCGAGTAGCAGAACAGACCAAACGCAGGCTCTGTGACGTGGGCGATGATCCGCAATAGCTCCTTTGGAAGCAGATCGCGGCGGTGAAAGAAGGAAAGGGTGGGGGTGGCATCCGAGTCAATGGACACTTGATCTGAATCAGACCGGCCGATTGGGCACTGGGTAGCAACATCAAATCCCATGAAAGTCTCGAACCATACATTGCGCGCGTGGAAGTCGGTTGGAGGACCCAGGAGACGATGATAGGCCTGTGTAGCACAGCTGCGTCCGAGAGGATGTCCGGTGGATCCTCATTGGACTGGACACACAAACTGAAGTGAGTCCGTCGGAACCATCCGAGGGAGGAATCTAACCAATGCACATACACAGCCCTGTCCCCACGCGCAAACCCAGCTGGGTGCCCCATGTGACTCCCTGCCCGTCGAGAGAACGGGTCGAGCCTCAGCACGCTCTCGAGCACGTCGATGATCCGGGACCCGAGCTACAGCGACCAGGCCCTCCAGACGCCCGCACGAAGCCCGCCGCCAGATCCTCCTCGTCCTCCCCTCCCGCACGTGAGGTTGCAAACACGATAATACGGGACCTATGCCGTCCAAGTGTCCCCAGCACGCGCCGATTTCCACGCCCCTCCGGTGGCTGGCAGGCCAGGATGTCTAGCTGCGGCCGGATGTTCGCGATATCCAGGTCCAGCTTCCGCCCGTGCAGCATGCATTCCAGCCATTCTGAAAGATGCAGGCTCGTCATCACCTGCCCGAAGGACTGGTCCGCCTTGGCCAGCTTGATCGAGTCGTCATCGAAATCCTCGATCTGGCCCATCTCCTGGTGATATCCAACAGCATCGTCACCCTCTGCCCCATCGGACTGGTGCACAATTAACAATCCGTCTCCCTCTGACGAATCACCCACCACTGATCCTGGTCCTCTATCAACGACAGCGCGCAGATGGCCGCCACCAATTCGGAGGAGAGGCTGCGCAGTTTTGGAGTCGCTTGCGTGGAGGGCGTATGCGATGTGGTAATGATGGCGGGCGGTGCGAGCACTTGGTTGGGCTAAGACGAGCAAGGCCATTAACATGGCTATACGCAAAAGAGATCCATGACAGACCTTGTAGTACAAACACTCGATCACCTTGACGTCGGGCTCGCTCGAGTGCAGCCCGTTGACGTACCGTTTCCCAGATTTGCTCATCTCCTTGGGACCCTTGCTGCCCTTGTCGCCACTGGACGACGCCCACCAGCTGCTTCACCGGCCACCCGTGCTTTCTGGTGTGATCTCTTCCGGGGCAGATCCCACTTCGGGCTCTGAGGTCAAAGCGTCCTGATTCTGACAGCGGTGATGTGATGCCCCAGCCTGTCACTAATGACCATTGCATGAGCCCACTGCCAGTAAGCTGCGGCACCAGTCTGCGAAGCAGGGCTGCAGCAGTCCATGGGCCGTATGACTGGCGCAGCCAACGGCTTTCGAGGTGTCGCATGGGCTCCGGGTCGGCCTGTCGACTTGGCCCAAGTAGATGCCGCTTCTTCTCCGTCAAATTGACCTGTTTTGATCAGCATGGTGCACTGAAAGGCAAAAGAAGAGACATAACATACCAGCGGCTTCAAACGCGGCCTCGTCGAATCCTTGATCCCCCCAGCGTCATTCAGTCCGCCGCCGGTCAAGTGCGGCACAAATTTCGGTTCGCGAACGACGGTATTGCGGATCTCTACTGCCGAGGTCGGTTCTATATACGACGGTGTCTCGTATCGAGCCCCCACTCAACCAGCCGTCGAAAATCATCCACAATCGATTACTAGGCAGCGGCTCTTCGGCAAAACTGAATCGGGGTGAAGCGACCGTGTCAGTGAGCTTGGCCATGCCCTCCTGATCTTCTTCCTCCACCCGCCCGGAAGAGCAGCAATGCGCCGGATCGTGGAATCGGCGGGTTCTATCGAGGCGCCAGAGACACTACAGGACTGGAAACTGGGGTACCATTCATCTGGAATGCACGGACTAGCTAGGGAAGAGAGGAGCATAAGTAGTGGACTTGGAGCTGACCAAGGCGCCCATTCACCTGAGCTGCCATTCAACACTCTGGACGGCAAGAGAGATCTTTGCCTGGGATTGCGTCGGGCAGAGAGGCAGACACCGAGCCCCGAGATCATTTGCCAGCAAGGCCGTTCGTGATGCCCTAGCCGGTACTCGCGCACTGTGTAAGCCGCATTACCACAGCAGGGAACACGGCCATGCACGCAAGCCAGATCGCAAACGAGTGGGTGTAGAATCCGCCAATGTTCAGGAAGAAACTAAGGACCAAGTAGACGGGGACATGTAAGACGACATGCTGATCCTCAGACGGGTAGAACGTCTGCCCTATAGTCAGTGGCCGTGATGCAGGGAGGAGATAACACAAACATGCAATCGCTGCGCAACCGGACACATTGGCCACAAATCTTTGACAGGATGGAAGGTGAGCCTGTTGCAGCTCTGGAATCAAATGAGCACACCGCCGGAAGGTGAAAACGTTCGGCCAGCACCACACGAACGCTTGTGCCACCGGTGAAGCTCGCCATCCGCCGTGAGTGACACGTCCTCTCTGTATCCACCCTCTGAGCGAGTAGCCCGTCGAATGCTGCAGCCTTGGGATTGCAAGCAGAGCGCCATGGACCCGGTGTGAACGAGGCTCGCTGGAAAGAACAGCCGTCGTGCCGGACTACATCAATATCCAGCTCATGTCGTCCGAGCCAAAAGAAGCGCTTGCTGTAGGCTCGGTTCCACACTCTGTAGTAGTTTCAGCAGAGTCTCCTCCAAGGAATCAGAGTCACCTGCCAGAGAGACAGTGACGGGGTCCAGTTGGCAGTATCGGCGTGTCATGATAGAGGATGAAGAGTCTTGAGGGCTGGCAATGGCATTCTCTACCACCCTGTGATTCTGGCCACAACTGTAGGCGAGTTCACGAGGGGGGGTAGGAACAAAGGCCGGCGCCGTGATGGACACCACCAACCAGGACACGTCTTGGCGCTAGCCCTTTTCGCGGTCACGTGCAATCGACGATCACTCCCGCAGCGACCCGACCGCGGGAGTCCTCAAGTATGCACTACTGTTTCTTAGCCAGAATATGACCTGGCGGTGATATAAGGTCCTGGAAAGAGGCAGACACAGACAAGCACAAGACATGTCCGGAGTTTCAGACCGATCGCTCCCTACGTTCATCCATCTGGGGTCACATTTGTCACATGTAGCATATATCATCTCTGTATGCCATCGCTTCTCTGCAGTCATAAGCAATCCTGTAAGACTACCGTTTGTTGTATCTCTATTCCACATCTTTCTCCTCATCCTCCCTTTTCCAGCGCCTCCACAGTGACAATCACTTGCGTGACGCGAGGCTCCTTTCCCGAATAACTCGCCCATCCTCGACCCGGGCGGATTAGATCTCGTGTTCTTCGCCGCGGCTTCGGGGATGAGATTGAACGCCTCGTTGAAGGCGCTGTTTTCTTGTGCGGCCATCGTTTTTCGTCGTGCGAGTCGCGGGCCGGTGCCTCCGCTGCCGAACTTCGTGGCAAGCGGTGAAGAGGGTCGCGAGGAAGGGCAGCGAGTACGTGGTCCCATCTATCATCGGTGGGAGCAAAACTGAGCAGCCAATGAGCCTCCAGTGAATCTAGATAAAAGGCACACAATGCACGGGATCCAAAAGGTTTCACGTCCTCTACATGTCCTGTCCGAAAACCACCTTGGGAACGTCGGCAAGTGCATGTTGGAGGACCGATTGGGAAACATGACTTATGCGCGACATGGCGCCTGCACCTGCGATTCAGCCCTTCCGCTCGTTTGCTGTGGCTCGCAGGTATCACTGTAAGACGAGGCTCGCTTTGCGTCGACCCGACTCTTACCCATCATCGCCATGACTGTCTCTTGTGTCCTGTCCTGGAGTGCCTTCCATGGGTGTTTTGCTCAAGCGCGGCGAGGTTTCTGGTGCTCTCGCTCCGTCGCGATGGCTCTGTTTTCATGATCTGGCCGGACTGCGGCTAGCTGCCCGTTGCCCACCAGCGCCTCGTGGACTGCGCACCGCTACTTTCGGTGACCTTAAAGTGCGCTCTCTCCCCGTCTTCTCATATATGGAGTGATGAGAACCATCTTCAGACAACTTTGCAGCCCAGCAGCCGAATGCTCAATCCATCTTCTCTAACATCGGGCCGTCTTCTAGAGCGGCTCAGAATCATCAGCGAACGACTCAGCCAGCACTCGTCAACCGTTCATCCGTTCGCATAGGGCTCATGGCTCTGACCAAGGCCTTTTTTTAGAGGTAAGCAATGTCAATACCACCAGCTCTTGTATACAAGATGTCCTGACGTCAATAGCCGATTCTCTGTGCATTGGATCACGCGACAACAGCTGATCTGCTCACTGCGATGGATCGACACTTGCGGTGTGCGTTGAAGACGTTCCGAAGAGGATGCGGCGCGTGATGTCGTCCACTTCCCTGCGCTCCGCCCATTCGCCCATCCGACCCCCCCCCTTCTCCCGCGCCCCCGGGATCCATCTGCCCGGTTCTGTTCTTCGGACGCCAAACCTCGGTTGTTGCGAGTTGCTCGTTCAGGGTGGGTGATCGGACGTGTCTGCCAGACTGGCTGAGTCTCATTAGTCATCACCAGAGATTCGCCATCTTTGATCCTTGCACAAGATCTTGGCATGCTTTCAACGACATCATAATGATTTTGTGGGCTCGGATTCGCGTCGTAGGCGGCGATGAGCTTTGAACCAGTCTAGTAGATAGCTCGTGACTTTCCTAGCACATCTCAGAGCACTGTTCTGTAGTAAAGCCTATTCCTCTGTCTTGGCATTGCAATGCAAATCCGATCCAAGGTCACTGATAGACATTCACCTTATGTCGATGGGCTGCCATGCTGGTTGGCTCGTCCAGGACTTGAAACCGTGAGCCATATGAACGACAGTGATATTTCTTGTATGCAAAACTACAAGTTGTCAAATCCTAGCCCTGGAACGGCATTGTGATCATCGACCTCCCCATTGTGATCATTGTCGTCTCCGCCCTGCTCCTCGCCATTGTCTCCTCCGTCCTCCTCCACATCGTCATCATCGACCTCATCATCGACCTCGTCATCGTCTTCGCCATCGAGCTGGGATCTCACACCCGACTCGCCATCTGCATCCATCTCCGTGTCTTCGCTCTCTGCTGCGATCGGAAGCCCGGTCGCCACCTACTGATGCACGATTCCACCCCCGCAAATAGCGCATAATCAGATCCCGGTTGGCAAATCTAGGGAGTCCACGGGACAACATCAGTGAGGGTCAGGAACCTCAGTGGGAAGAACGTACATGTCAACAAGGTAGGGTTCCCAGTCTGGACTCTGCCGTTTCCAGCGGATGGCGGGCTGCAGTCGGAGATGCAGTGCTGAGCAACGCATTGGTCTTTCCACCCGCGAAGTCCGGTATCAAGTGTGCTGCTCGCACGATTTGAGCGGGATCCAGAAAACCGAATGTATATTGGTCAGTTTCGGGGACTAACCTGACTTTCAGTAATCGAGCAGTCTTGAATCCGAAACGATATCCAGGCTCTGCTCCGAGCCACCGTACCCAGAGAAACACCATTCGTTGCGGGGACGTCCTCCATTCAGGGTTTTTGACACCGCCGTCTCGATAGACTGTTGCGTGGAATACACCAAGAACTTGAGCGTACCAGTACGGATCGGTTTCCTTCACAGGGGACAGGACCATGACGAACGGTTGCAGGCGATGGTCGATCGTGTCATAGTCGCGACGCACATCGTAGGTCGTGTAGTTGATTCGGATCGTTTTCGAGCGATGGATCTGGTTCCTGAGAATGATCACCGAGTTTCTCTGCTCATCAGTGAAGTCGTTGTGGTCGTCGCCATCGAAGTCGCGCCCAATGATTCGGCCCAGTATGTCATCCTGAAGCTTCGGAATAGAGTCCTGCACAAGGGATCGGATCAGGCAGCGATTTTGTATCATTCACATACTCTCACCTTATATGCTGGATCAGCTTTGTTCAACCGATACTCTGCATGTACAACAAACTTGAATCGTTTCGCCTGGCTAGTATGGTGGTGGAGGTCGAGCGCTGTTTCCCCGAGTGGATGGCTTTCAGCGCGGGGACAAGGGTGTCGATGAGTCGACGAGTGCGATTCCAGACACGATCAGACGCTTGAGCTCGCACCGGTCGGATTGCGCGCTGCCCAAGCTGTTTCTCGTACATGCGTTTATTGGTGACAGTGTAGAATCGTTTCATCAGCCGATGAAGGCTCTCGCCCTGCCAGCAATAAGCACTAGAAACGCGCAGTGGACTGGTCTACTCACCACTTAAGTCGAATATCTATCTGTCAGGCCGAATGCTTCGATATTGGATAGATAATCACCCATCGCGTGAGTTTTGATGGCGGTGGCATCTGGGGTGCGTATCCGAGTAGCCATCTCCGTCGGTAACTCGTGCGAAGTGTATCTAGGCATTTGACGGTAGCTGCAAAACATGAGAACGCGACTTCCCTCTCTCTGTTGACCGTCCGTCACACACGGTGTGTCGACTCATCTCCAGTCGGTTGTACTTGAAGCATGCGTACAAGGCGAATGAAAAGACTCTTCCAGACACCAAGCTCAAACTCGTGCATCAGGTCGACCACAAGCATCCGATGCAGCTTGAAGTCGGAGCCCAGACTATCAACGAATGCATTCCTACAGATCATAAGTGCACACATTATGGCATCACATCACAGACAACTCAGAGACTTACCAGTGTCGGCACCGCTGAGATGTCCTGCAGCAATCTTTCGACTGTGTTTGAACGGATGGAATAGCTGAGCTTGTATATCAACCGGCGTGCACGATTGACCTCATCGAGCTCGAACGTTCTTGATTTCGACGCCCGAGCATCAAGATCACGTCTCTGGCCAACGCCGTGCATCTTTAGGAACGGGACATCGAGGACACGGATTGAGCCCATTATCACGAATGGTGGCAAGAAGAACCCTGAAATTGAATGAGCTGACTGTACCGCCTCGGATGCAGGCCACGCACATCTCAGGATAGTCTGCCGTGAGTAAATAGTCGAGGAATCGCACGGCGTTCCGCGCCATCGGCACGTTTGATGACCATGCCAAATTGGTATGCATGCTGGAAGTCGGGGTCCTCAATAACTCCTTCAATATGGCGTGCATGAGCCCTCGATGTAAATACGCGCTTCTAATCTTGTTCTGACTTCTGGATGGTACTTCGCAATCGTATCCGAGGACATTTGCAGGAAGCTAGAGTTGAGTTCGTCAATGTTTACACCTCTGGACAGTAGGATGAGCCCACACACTTCGGGAATGAATGGGGCATAGTGAGCTGCCCCTGAACTTGTTAGTGCCCTGATGTACTTTGATAGATGGCCGCAATGAAGGTACTCATATGGGCCAAAGCCTAGCTGGCCCAAAGTTTGCGAGTCAGACCAGAACATCATCGCTGCAATGACCTTGTCAAGTCTGCAGTCAGGCGCATCGGGAGGGAGCAGGCCATTGCGTTGGATAGTGTTGTGCTCTGTGATGAAGACATCTGAGTTCTACAGCAGTACTGCCACAACTTACAAGTGAGAAAGTCCTTCTCATCACGACGTCCTTCCAAAGGTCTCCCAACGCTTTCGTGCTCTTCTTCCAACTCGAATCGCTGCCTTCACTCCGAAGTATCATCAAGCCACGAACTAGTGTCTTGCAACCCGTTCAGGACATAGAGATATCTTGCGCATGACTACAGTGCAAACTGCGCCTCTTCTATACGCGCTCGGAGGAGCTCTTCCCTTCGATCACTTATCTCTGTCATGGAATTCATCGTGCCATTTTGCTCACTTGGCTGGACGATGCTTTCGGTCCTGCACCAGACGTGCGGCAGCGAGCGTGTGTGGAATGAAGGTTGGGTTTCTGGTGATGTGGCGGGTTTCTCTGCGATAAGTTTGCTTTTGTTCCTATCCTCTGCCACGCGACGAAACCCAGGACCGGTCTGCTGGCCATGCTTCCACTTCCCTCATGAGGGCTCTACTTTCTGTGTTGCATTGGACTCTCCTGGGTCTGAAGGCCAGAAATGATCGCATCCGCACCTTTGCAATAGGTCACGGCCTCTACTCCTCGGGACTCTTCGCTCTGTGTTGAGTCGTAGACGGACTGAAACATCCTAATGATTGGATTGTTCGAAATCGGTCATCGTTCCTTCTGAATCTAATCAGATTTTCTGGCTGGGGAACACGAGTTGGTGTTATACATACATACGTCGGCCACATGGGACAAGAAGACACGAGACTTGAGCACAAATTTCACTACAATAGTAAGAGCTTCAGGATTTTGAACTAGCGACAGTTTCGATGCAAGAATCAAACGAGAGACAGTGTATATATGTGCGAGGATATTTGCTTTCACGGCGGGTAATGAAAGCACGGGCTATCTTGAGCATTCAAACTGCGGCTGGCACTTCGCTCGGGTGGAAGTTTCCGTCATCCTGGCTGTTCTTGTAGAACTTCATCGTGTCCGGCTAGGTTTCCGATGAGTGAGCAAGCCAATCCTGAGCCCAATAAGAGACAACGACGCGCACCATATCGGCTTCGTGGTCCACAGCGACCTGCACCTGGAGCCGCTTCCGGGCGCTCGAGCCGATCGTCTCCATGCTGATCGAGTTCCAGCCTTTGTCTTGCGAGGTCATATGTTCACGCAGGCGGCTGCGGGTGTTGAGACTAGGCTAGACGCATGAGCTCGCGGACACGTGATAGTACCGGGACGTACGTGGCCAGCATGCTGTTCATGTACACTGAGCGCTTTGTCAGCGGTTGAAATGGGCGGACGGAAGAGTGCTTTCTCTTACATTTGCTGCTTGGGGCGAGGCCGAGGAAGAACCAGAACGTGTCGGGAACAGCCAGGAACTGCGCGAGAAATGAGCGGGAGCAGTGGGAAGTCAATAATCACGCACAAGAATCATGGTCGCGGCTGAGGCGAGGGAGGTGAGCGTCCCACAGTTGATCGCGTCGTAGCTGCCGTGGACAGGTATGTGCTTGTGTCCGGGAAACCAAGAGACGACGTACATCAAGCGGTCGATCACGTAGTTGGTCCTACAGCGAACAACAGTCAGCGGGCCAAACACCTCGAAAACATTGGCACCCACTTCGAAACCGCGGTCTTCTGGTGACGGAGGAAGAGGCAGAGATAGACGGTGATTGACAAATCGCAGGCAAGCGAGGCGGCGGCTTGCAACGTCGTGATGGCCTTGCGGATCGATCAGTGTTGAAAAGAGCTGAAGACACTAGGGTCCACGCCTTGGTCGAGTCGAGTTTCGCGTAGAACCGGACTTGGTGCCTGGACAAGCAATGAGCACAAACAAACGAGGTGCGCCAAGGAAAGAACCTACGAGGCAATGACCTGGGCAATCCCGGCGCCGACTTGGAGGAGGGCAAAGAGGCTGATGAAATACATTCCGATTGCGGAGAGACTGAATGGTTTGCGTCCGCGGGTCACTATACCGACAATTCAGCCACAGGACAAGAAAAAGTACAGGAATGAACGTTTGTGAACCCGGGATGCGAAGAACCTAGATCAAAGAGATCAGAGTCAAGTGTCGCACAGCATGTATTGAAAACGGACAACTGAACGCAAAAAGCGGACAGATACTGCAGAAACATAAGCTCAAGTCCAGAAGAAATATCATGGTCGCACAGCAGATAACAATTGAAGCTGCGCAAGAGAACATTTGTCAGTGCAACGGGGAATGGAGAACAGAGAGCGATACCGAGTCCTCCCTGGATCAATCGTGAGCATCACGGAAGCACGCGGAAATTTCAACTCGCCAGATCATTTCTTCCTGCGGGATGCCGAAGAGATCGACGAAGCGCGAGTAGGACGACTTGAAGAAGAATATGACCTGAATGATTTCGAGAACCCTGGGCAGCAACGTCAGAGACAGCGCAGATTCGACTGATCAACCTACATGACGACGGCAACCTGTAGAGAAAGAAAAAAATGAGTCGCCCGAATCCGCGACCGCGGTTCAGAACACTTGCCGTCGACTTGATGCGCGCGGTATCGTTGTTTTTGCTGAAGAAGTATATCCAAGCCTGGAGAGCGCCGGCTCCGAAGAGCATAGTCTCGATGAAGAGAGACACGAGCCAGACGCCGTACGTAGATCCGAGGCCGTTGTTCATGGTAGGTTATTGGACAATGAGTGCAGAATACGAAGGGGAGATAAAGAGAACCTCTTCTTCCCTCGACGCAGCATATATCCGGAAACACACGGTGCCACCCTATTCCCCGTCCCTAATGTCGGACTTTGAACCTTGTCCGCGGTTCCTGTACATTATCGCGCGCAATCAGAGGCGATTTCCCGTATTTGAGCTTGAGGGAGCGACTGAACATTGGGATCAGCTTCTGCGCTTCCACGACGCCAATCACATCAGAAGCCACACCGGTTTTTTGGGCATTTGCGTTCCTTTTGAGGGTGCCCGCGGTCTCCATCGCGTTGGACGTGCCGATTTACCGCCAACGCGGAACGATCCAGAAGACGGCTTGCATCTGCAGGGTTTATCTAGGTCTTGCTGCCAGTGCGGACCAACCGTCGCCAAAACTGGCTTCGCAGCGTTGTGTCCAGTGGCTGAACGCCGCGTTCCCAAGATGATCCTAGCACTATGTAGTATGTACGAGCCAATGACACACTTTCGTCTTGGACCCCCGCCTGCCTATCCGACGAGGTTTTCACCACCTAGCTCCGAACGTCTATCAAGAACACACAAACGGGGGCAGTCGGTCGCGCGCTGACGGTCGTCACGGGTGAGCGTCGCAGAGTGCTCGAATAACCAGATCCAGAGTCCTGCTAGCCTGAGACCCGCAAAGGGTGGGATGCAAGACTCAGGGAGGATGACAGTGGGTGCCTCATGAATCGATCGTCAGGGCCGTGGGAGATGAAGCCAGAGCGAGAGGTCGACGGTGGACGCAGATTGGAGACGACACGCCGATGAGCAAGCGCATCATGGAGATGCATTGTCACATGGGGTACAGTCGAGTGGCGAATGGTGAGTACCTATGTAGAGGGTAGGATCGATCGTGATCTGATGATTTGTCCGGATCAATTCAGGCTCCTGTCCGAACTTCGAAGTACGCGATGGCTCCCGGACCAGTGTGCTGCCACTTGCCGTCATGATAACATGCGATCAGTCTGCTCGCTTTGCGCACCTCTGAGTCTTATCGCGATCAACATGGCTGCTGACGAGAAAGGAAGGGACGAGGGCATGTCCGAACGCCATCCGTCTTTCAGTGCGCCAGACGGCGACATTCTCGTGTGCGCCGAGAGATGAGCCGCACCGCGATTTTCGACGCCATTCGTTCACTTTGAAGAAGACTTAGGGCTCGTTCATCGCCATCTCATATCGACCGCAAGTTCCGGGCCCACCCTCTGATGTCTCCCCCGGGCCGATTGTGCTGCAGGAAGACACTGGTGCAGCCATCTCCATCGTGGGGCATGGGCCCATCGTGCTGAATCACACAAAGAAACGCTTGGACGCCTTCTCCGTATGGCCTGCAAACTCCCCGTTCTGCCTGTTCCCGACTTTGACGCGGTGGACGGGATCCTCTTCGCTCCAGAACAGTATGTCTATGACCTGCCCGGCCCCATGTCCATCCTCTGTCTGTTCGTCAGGGCGCCGGCACTTGCGATTCGGGCCTTCCGTTTGTTTGCTGTCGCTCGCAGGTGCAATTGGGAAGACGAGGCTCGCTTGGCGTTGACCCCGACTCTTACCCATCATCTCCATGACCGTCTCCTGTGTCCTGTCTTGGAGCGCCTGTCGACCAATGCATGACTGAAACTGTTTGACCTCTCCAATTCGCGGAAAGTTTGGTGGCGCTCTTGGCGCGACGAGTGCCTCGCTCAAGCACGGCAAGTTTTTTGGCGCTCTCGCTGTGGGTCGAGTCCTTCAGGGGCTCGCATCGCTGGAGACCGCATCACAGCCTTCCAGCTGCCGCGACAGTGGCTCCAAGATCCCAAATTCGTCCGCAAGGCCGGGTGTCACTGGCACTGTCAGTGCATGCTTCTATCCGACCCAGTCTGTGCTAGTCCTCGCTGTCTATGGGGCAACACCGAGACATCGTCGAGGTCTTCGTCCTGTCGTCGCTCGCTAAACTCTTATTTTCGAATGACAATTGCTGAATGGAACCCTTGACAGGGGTGCCCGCGTTTTCTGCTCAGAAGAAGCGCAAGGGTGAGTTGACGAACTCCTTGAACTCGACTCTACTGTATCGAACGCAGTACAATCGTATCACTGTCAAAAATAAGCAACATCGGACATCGTCACCCTTTCCGAGATTGTAGTTGTCGTGCTTGGGCCTGCCAGTACGTCCTTGCGCGCCTCCCAATTCTGTCCAGTACTTTGATCATTGGACCGATGTCTGTTCTAGCAGATCCCAGACAGGTCCCTTCGCGCATAAGACATGTTTCCCAATCGGTCCTCCAACATGCACTTGCCGACGTTCCCAAGGTGGTTTTCGGACAGGACATATAGAGGACGTGAAACCTTTTGGATCCCGTGCGTTCTGTGCCTTTTATCTAGATTTACTGGAGGCTCATTGGCTGCTCAGTTTTGCTCCCACCGATGATAGATAGCACCGCGTATTCGCTGCCAGTGACCTTCCTCGCGACCCTCTTCACCCTTGCCACAAAGTTCGGCAGCGGAGGCACCGGCCCGCGACTCGCACGACGAAAAACGATGGCCGCACAAGGAAACAGCGCCTTCAACGAGGCGTTCAATCTCATCTCCGAAGCCATGGCGAAGAACACGAGATCTAATCCGCCCGGGTCGAGGATGGGCGAGTTATTCGGGAAAGGAGCCTCGCGTCACGCAAGTGATCGTCACTGTGGAGGCGCTGGAAAAGGGAGGATGAGGAGAAAGATGTGGAATAGAGATACAACAAACGGTAGTCTTACAGGATTGCTTATGACTGCAGAGAAGCGATGGCATACAGAGATGATATATGCTACATGTGACAAATGTGACCCCAGATGGATGAACGTAGGGAGCGATCGGTCTGAAACTCCGGACATGTCTTGTGCTTGTCTGTGTCTGCCTCTTTCCAGGACCTTATATCACCGCCAGGTCATATTCTGGCTAAGAAACAGTAGTGCATACTTGAGGACTCCCGCGGTCGGGTCGCTGCGGGAGTGATCGTCGATTGCACGTGACCGCGAAAAGGAGCTAGCGCCAAGACGTGTCCTGGTTGGTGGTGTCCATCACGGCGCCGGCCTTTGTTCCTACCCCCCCTCGTGAACTCGCCTACAGTTGTGGCCAGAATCACAGGGTGGTAGAGAATGCCATTGCCGGCCCTCAAGATTCTTCATCTTCGCTCATGGGACGCCAACCCTGCTAACTTGACGCCGTCTGCGAAGTTCGAACGACCGTAACACGGGCGCTGATACGATGTGAGCCTGCCGTAACGAGGTGGACTGCCGGTCGGGTGAGCGGTCGAATGAATCACGGCAAGCCCGGAACCTCACTCATGCATTTCTAGCCAACCAGTCCCACACGGCCTACTTGCCCCATTCGTGCTGGCCCTGACTCCGGTCCCGGCAGCGACCGCTACAACGCTCTCTGAAACTTGATTCTCCACCTCTCTGGCGACGGCAGCTTCTTCACGCCCGCTCTGTTCATCACCACCACTCAGCCAGTCACCGTCGCCACTCAGTTCCTCGCCAACGACCGGCACGGCGTCCGAAATCCACCGTCTCTGCGTCCAGAACGGCGAGAGCTCCTCTAGTCTAGGACGCCCCGGCCAAGACTGCTGCCGGTCTCACTCAATTCAACTCCGTTACTGACGCGTTCTGCGCAGCGCTCAAGAACGTCGCCAGAGATACCAACTGTAGCTTTGCGGTCCGCGGGGTTCTTGAGACGATGAGTGCTTTGCTCAAGGCGCAGCAGGGTCTTGGAGCTCTTTCTCTGGGACGATGGCTCTGCTTCCAAGATCTGGCTGGACTACGGTTAGCTCCCCGCCCACTGGCAGCGCCTGCCGCATGGGTTCTGCACCGCTACTTCCGGCGACCACAGCGTGCGCTCTCTCTTCGTCTTCTCATTATCTGGATTGACGAGCACCATCTCTAGACCGTCCAAGCCCAGCAGTCAAGCGCTCAATCTGCCCTCTCGAACATTAAGACCGGCCCTACCGATTCGGCCTTTCCCGGCCCGACCGCCTCGAACAGCTCCGTTGCCTCGGCCAGCGCCATTCCCTCAGCAACTGCGAGGTCTGGTTGTTCGAACAATGCGGAGGCCAAGGTGGGTGTGACTTTTAGTCCCAATGTGTCACCAGGTCCTCATCTCGCATGCAGGCTGGACAGGCTCTGGAACCCGTGTGACCGGATCGATCTGCGTCTTCAGCAACCCATGTCCGTCTTTCATACCCTCGTGCTTTCTCCTTCTTACGTGCTTTCCGATTCACTCTCAGTGCCCGTCAACGACGTGCCATCTCTCAAGAGGTCGATGACAAAGCGTGCTGGTCCCGGTCGAACGCTTCACTATCCTATCGGCGAGCCTCGCATGGGCTGTTCGGGCGAGCCACGAAAGTGTTCCGCGTCGTGGTCGACAAGGGTCTCGAACGTCACGAGCGGAGCTTAGATAGCAACAATCCACTGCTGTGTCCACAGCTGTACGCACTGAAGGATTCGTGGAGGCAGGGCTGCCGGCGTCCCGAGGTGGATTGCCATGATCTGATCGAGCTTTTCCGCAAGTCGGAGAAGGGTCTTGCACTCATCAAGCAACACCAGCTGGACGAATCGGATATGGCGCGGTGCATCGGTAGCCTCGATCTCTCCAACACGCCCAAAGATTTTTGCTTCAAGGATGGGACGGGACCTGATTGGGACACCACTCGACACAAGACCCATGTCGCTGGCCGGGGATGGGCTCCACTGTCATCACACTCTTATATTCGACGCATCAGCGCCGGAAAAAAGCAGGAAGTGGAGAGTTCTGGGCGCTGTCCAATCTGCTGTTGGAGATGGAGAACAAGCGGATTCTGAATCAAGAATGCTGCGATGGCATCATACCCAACCCTTGGGTCTCTGACTCCGAGTCAGGTGTGTCAAAACGTTTGGGCCGTCTGCAAGTCTCTGACCGTCTCAGACACTTTGTCCGTGCTCAGATCCACGAGATGGTGGCTGTGTTCCAAATGTGCTTCACAACATCTTGCTCTTGGTCAACGAGGCTGCCGAAAACTCTGTGGCAGATCTAGCCAGCAATCTGCAGATGAAATGCCGCACTCCAATGCACTGTGCTTTCAGATCGGTGGACAGTGCGCTGTCTCCCATTGCTCATCACATTCCACCGGCTGAACTTCTCCCAGTTTCATCAACAACAGAATGAAGAACTGTCACCAGACTGTTGCTGGACTCGGATATCCCGCCTGACTTTCTGCGGCAGTACAGAAATCAAAACCAGGGGGGCGCATGTTGGGTGTGTGTTAAAGACGTTCCAAAGAGAATGCAGTGCATGATGTCATCTACTTCCCTGTGCTCCCCCCATTTGCCTATCCAACTCCCCTACCCCCACACTGGCTGTGGCTGGCACTGTCTATTGCTAGTGCTGACATAGCCTAGAATGGTGCACTAGTCTCTATACTCATCTCTTTGTACTGTGACATAATCATGTGTCTCTGTATAAACACCATAGCAGAGAGGTGTGAATCAAAGTGGTAAATAAACAAGAAATGTAATTTACAATCACATCACTGTGACCAAAATGCAGCCTGGGAGTCATAGGACTCCCGAACTTTCTTGAGCATGGTTGCCTTCTTGACATCCTTGGCACGAAGTGTGGTGTGTGTACCACAAGATTGGCTGGTAGCAATGTTGGCCTTGCTGGGAAGTACAGTGCCATGTAGATGATCTGGCCTGAAAAACCTATAACCAGATAAGTACAACAATAAAAAGACATTTCAAATGAGCTCACCATACACTGTTGGCAATTGTACAAAACACAATGCCATATTGTGCAACAACAAAGTTGTAGTCATTGCTATCACCTGACTTCTTGAGTTGACTTGTCAAAGAGAACTCCAGATCATGATCAAGATGTAGAGGTGCAACATAATTTGTGCAGTGGTAAGCAGTGCCACCATGACGACCCAAGTAGCTGACACCAGCATCACGGGAGGTTGTCTCGATACCCCTGGTGATCTCTGGGGCAAAGGCATTGACAGTTGCAAAGAGCACATCAGCATCCTAGTATACATGAGAAATTGTTACAACTTGGATTTGCCACTAACCTCTGCTGCTGCAAATAATGCTGCCACTCCATTTGTTGTATGAGCATCCAAACTTGCATATGGACCATAACCATCACCAGGACGGCCTCCAGAAGGAACACGTGAACCAACAGGATGCAGATCTCCATGAACTCTTGTGTTGCCTGATCTCTTCACCTTTGTGGTATATGTCACAACAGTCTCATGATTGCACTGAGCCTTTTTAAGTGTTGCAGAGTCCATTGCCTGGAACTTGATTCCTGCTACCTGTTGTACAAGTTAGAAATCCTGGTATATATCAAAGTCTAGAAATAAACCTACTTTTTGTTGAGTGTTCTTATCCACCAAGATGGTAACATCTTGCTGACATCTTTGATACACCTCAGAGCGATGACCAATCAGTCTATACCCCAGATCATCAGGTGATTGTATTGAATAGCCTTCAAGCTGATTAGAGTCAGCAATGTATTTGAGACAAGAGACATAGACACATACACCTGGTGGCATATTCTCTCGAGTTGCATAAGTTATTATACAGCCTTGCAATGACTTGATCTCTGCTGTGCTTCTTGGCTCCACAAAGATGTATTGGACACACTTCTGGTTGTCAGGGTAGCCCATGCACTTCTTGCAGCCATCTAGATGAGACTGGGCTGAAGCAGAAGATTGCTCAGGCAATTGTTGACGATCAGAGAAAGACCTCTTGGAGGACTGGGAACCAGCTGGTCTGTATGAACCATGGATTGCCTCCTTCTGTAGAGCACGTTCACTAGCAGCTCTCTTGAAAATAGCAGCAACTTTAGGGTGAACGCTTGGAGACTGCAATGCTACTAGTCGACGGTATAGAGCCGTTGAGTCCCATGTTGCAGCATCACTGTATCCCTAAAGGCACTTTAGCCAATCTCTGCAAACATAATAGAACTTACAAGAGATAACAATGTGGGCAAAACCCATATATCCCAATTGTGGCACCATGTCTGCTGAGAAGATAGGAAAAAAATATTTGTGGAAGTGCTGAGTAGCTGGGCAGCAAATCTTCTATCCGTCATAGCATTTTGGATGCAGGACAGTTCACGACTTGTTTTCTTTCTGTCATGTGGTTTGGTTTCACTTGGAGCCTAGAGCAGAATAAATCAAGACTGGCCAGATGTGTGTAGAGTCTGCTTACAGTGACAACTGATTCCCTAGCATCCTCTGGGGTAAAAAGGAACAGTAGTTCACCAAACCTTTGCTTCCACTGGTATGATCCATCAGTGTCTTGAATGTGGGGAAAATCAATCTCTCTTCTTGTAAGAGGATTGATGATCAGCAGCAGAGTGTCTGCTAATCCACTAGACTACAAGCAGTCAGAAATTCTGCTCAGCCATGCTAGAAAACCTACCTTGAGAGCCTGTGTGAAAGCAGGCTGACTGTATGTACTCGGCTTGAAAAGCCTGAGCTGTTGGAGAATCTCCACTACCTCCTTCATGGACTTATCAGGATGTAGTGACAAAGGATTCTGAGACAGGCAGAAATCCCGAGCAAGGATAGCTCTCCACTGCAAAAAGAGATCTTGAAAGCTACGCTCTGTGTTCTGCAAAGTAGGCTCCACAGCAGCTAGGGCACTCAGCACGGCATCACCCATGTCAGTGTTCTCAGCATCCTGGTTAAAGACACTATCCACGGAGATCTCGGGTTCCACGTAGTTCTGTACAGATCAACAGTCTGAGTGTGCACTTGGTTTTGAGCAGTGACAAACCTTGGCTGCACAAACCTGGGTTTGAAGCAGTAAATCCAGTGCCATGGATTCTGATTCCATCGCTCGCCAGACTTGGACTTCGACGAACAATTTTATTGCAGCTGCATCTGTGAGGTTGACGGGGCCTATGCAGTACAGGACCCAAGATTGGATGTCGGGATGATTCTCAGGCTGGGTCATAAGCATCGTGGCCAGGTGGGCGATGGTGCTTGATAAGGCACGACGACCGCCTCTGAGACTGCTGAAGGCCTGAGGGGAGAGTAATCTTTCGCGAAGTTGAAGATCAGCTTCTGCAGAGGGCAGCCGAGGGGAGCCATAAAGCGATGAGAGAGGCATGGATGAGGTGAAAGGATGAGACCGGGGTGCGGCAGAAAAACAAGCGCAAAGACGTCACAGCTTCCGGCCTTTGTTCCTACCCTCGTGAACTCGCCTACCTCTCGCGCGACGGCTGTGTCTTCACAACCGGTCTCTCCATCGCTACCATTCAGCCAGTCACCGTCGCCACTCAGTTCCTCGCCAACGACCGGCACGGCGTCCGAAATCCACCGTCTCTGCGTCCAGAACGGCGAGAGCTCCTCTAGTCTAGGACGCCCCGGCCAAGACTGCTGCCGGTCTCACTCAATTCAACTCCGTTACTGACGCGTTCTGCGCAGCGCTCAAGAACGTCGCCAGAGATACCAACTGTAGCTTTGCGGTCCGCGGGGTTCTTGAGACGATGAGTGCTTTGCTCAAGGCGCAGCAGGGTCTTGGAGCTCTTTCTCTGGGACGATGGCTCTGCTTCCAAGATCTGGCTGGACTACGGTTAGCTCCCCGCCCACTGGCAGCGCCTGCCGCATGGGTTCTGCACCGCTACTTCCGGCGAAAACAGCGTGCGCTCTCTCTTCGTCTTCTCATTATCTGGATTGACGAGCACCATCTCTAGACCGTCCAAGCCCAGCAGTCAAGCGCTCAATCTGCCCTCTCGAACATTAAGACCGGCCCTACCGATTCGGCCTTTCCCGGCCCGACCGCCTCGAACAGCTCCGTTGCCTCGGCCAGCGCCATTCCCTCAGCAACTGCGAGGTCTGGTTGTTCGAACAATGCGGAGGCCAAGGTGGGTGTGACTTTTAGTCCCAATGTGTCACCAGGTCCTCATCTCGCATGCAGGCTGGACAGGCTCTGGAACCCGTGTGACCGGATCGATCTGCGTCTTCAGCAACCCATGTCCGTCTTTCATACCCTCGTGCTTTCTCCTTCTTACGTGCTTTCCGATTCACTCTCAGTGCCTGTCAATGATGCGGGCTGCAGATCAAATTGGTCAACGTGACTGCCGTTTCAGTCGTGTTCGTGGTAAATCCTGCTGAGGGGGATCAAGGATTCAACGAGGCCGCGTTTGAAGCCGCTGGTATGTTATGTCTCTTCTTTTGCCTTTCAGTGCATAATGCTGATCAAAACAGGTCAATTTGACGGAGAAGAAGCGGCATCTGCTTGGGCCAAGTCGACAGGCCGAACCCGGAGCCCATGCGACACCTCCGAAAGCCGTTGGCTGCGCCCAATCATACGGCCCATCGACTGCTGCAGCCCTGCTTCGCAGACTGGTGCCGCAGCTTACTGGCAGTGGGCTCATGCAATGGTCATTAGTGACAGGCTGGGGCGTCACATCACCGCTGTCAGAATCAGGACTCTTTGACCTCAGAGCCCGAAGTGGGATCTGCCCCGGAAGAGATCACACCACAAAGCACGGGTGGCCGGTGAAGCAGCTAGTGGGCGTCGTCCAGTGGCGACAAGGGCAGCAACGGGTCCTAAGGAGAAGAGTACTAGTCAATCGGGGAAACGGTACGTCAACGGGCTGCACTCGAGCGAGCCCGACGTCAAGGTGATCGAGTGTTTGTACTACAAGGTCTGTCATGAATCTTTTTTGCGTATAACAATGTTACTGACCTTGCTCGTCTTAGCCCAACCAGATGCTCGCACCGCCCGCCATCATTACACACATCGCATACGCCCTCCACGCAAGCGACTCCAAAACTGCGCAGCCTCTCCTCCGAATTGGTGGCGGCCATCTGCGCGCTGTCGTTGATAGAGACGAGAAGGCCGTGCTCGCCGCGCTATCTGACTACTGGGTCGAATTCCAATAGCCGTTCCGCTGGCAGCAATGCTCGATGATCTGTGGGTTTCCTGCCGTGGATGAGACTGGTCAGGTGAGCTTCGCTATCTGTTTGCGTGTCTCCACTCTGAGCACAGTGAATGGCGTAGAACTTGCATGGACTGGTGCAGCAACTGGTCCAGAATGAGAAGCTGGTCCTCCAGCTCCGCCGAGGCAGATCGGTCGAGGGCTCAGAATCAGGGTGAAGCTCGCGAAGTGGTGCGTCCGATGCTCGCTTCATGCTGCTTCCCTCGCTGAGGAACATCCTGCAGGACGATCGGGCGAAACGGCAGCTGGACAGAGCCAAGCAGAACCAGTTGACCCATGAGATTGCCATGCCGAAGACCAAGGTGAGTGGTGGCTGGTTTGTCGCATGGAGACGGATTGTTGAAGCTATGCTGCAGAACGCGGAGCTTGAATATGATGGAGAAGGAATTCAAAGACGAGGAGAGCACTTATCTCTCTGAAGCAGGCAGTCGAGTCGGTCCACACGCACTTTCTCTCGCGCAAAGGTTCCAAGGAGGAATCCGACATGGACGCTGCAATAATGGCCTCACGCACGATCGACAGTCTGACGCGCAAAGACGGGGGGATCGCGGCTCTGGTGGTTGAGCTCAACGAGCTCCAGGCCAAAGTGGCGGCCAAACCCACCATGATGGAGAAGGAATTCAGAGCTGCACGCACCGCGCCAGTGGAGCCGAATACGCCCCGATCGCAGCCGCTGGGTCGCCGACGTGGTTTGTCCCGCCTCCCGAGTTGGGAATGAAAGGATCGTCCCCGCCTCCTTCGCCCCCACCGCCAACAATCGGTGGTTGCAAGTACCTGCACCGGGCAGCGGGCCGCCGCCGCCATCGCCATCATCGTGTCTGACCATGTGTCTGACCTCTTATACTACTAGTGCCAAGTACAATGTTTTATCAGACTGACATGGGCACGAGCATGTGGACTCGACGAGCTTTGCAGCATATGATGGGATCAAGTGTCCGTTGAATCCACCCTTTCTTTCTTGACCGCTCCCATCTACTCTCATGGACCCGGGTACATCCTCAAAACGCGAACACTGCTTGAACACCGATCGGAGCAGTCCTGACGACCTCCCCATCATCGTCTCGAGTGTGCCTCTTCCCACCGGTCCTCTACTCGTTATCATTTAGGATGTCATCAACTTTGACCATCACTGGCACATCTGTTGCAGAGTAGGCCCGTTTCCTGATCGCACACAATACAGTTCTCACTCGGTCACCAGATTTGTACAACAACGATGTGGAAGCCGTACATGTACGAACTGCCTTGAGTTCCGTTTCCGTCCTGTTCTAATCCGCTTTCAGTCTGAACGACTGCGGTCACACGTTCTGCGTCGATTGCCTAGTCAAGTGGCTGAGTGAGCCTGAAGGACGCGTTGCCGGGTTAGCTTTGACATGTGTCTTCAGGTGCCTGCCTCGCCCAACACAGGAACACGCATCCGCACTGGCGTCCTGGCGTCCCCAGCCTGCCACCAGCCTTTGCATACGAGCCGAGAAACCCAGCCATAGCTGGAATGGTCACCTGGCGCTACCAAACTTCTCAGCCCCAATACACATGCCCGAGTTGTCGCAAGGCTATGAAGTCGAGACCAACTGAAGACTATACGTTGAAGGCGCTCATTCACGTGCTGGCTACTAGCATCGGGCAGTTGGACCCCAAGGAGATGACCCAGTCCCGAGCCAAAGGCTGCGCGGTGGTCTCGGAGGGTCCCTTTGACTCTTTCTTTGGCAAGGACAGATGAGATGCAGTTTTACACACACATAATCTAGATACATTGTACGATATGAATGCAGACTTCAAGGGGAAACGAGGGGGAAATGCTGGATCAGGCTCGACGCGTGACTCTCGAAAATCGCACATGAAGATACTATGTATTGACGGACAAACTGTCCTCGCATGTGCGCATATCTGCCCGTCCAGCGACGAGCCCGGAGGAACGCGAGCCCGAGGTCTTCACCACTGAGTGGATGTGCTCAGTCCACTCCCTCGGGCCGTTCATCGACGGCGCATCCAACGCATTCGAATATCCCGCTGCACTAGATGAGACGCGGTTGCTGTCGGCGCCAGACATGGGAGCAGGACCTAGATTTGATTTCTGTACTGCCGCAGAAAGTCGGGCGGGATATCCCAGAGTAAAACATGCAGCGAGTAGCAGAACAGACCAAACGCAGGCTCTGTGACGTGGGCGATGATCCGCAATAGCTCCTTTGGAAGCAGATCGCGGCGGTGAAAGAAGGAAAGGGTGGGGGTGGCATCCGAGTCAATGGACACTTGATCTGAATCAGACCGGCCGATTGGGCACTGGGTAGCAACATCAAATCCCATGAAAGTCTCGAACCATACATTGCGCGCGTGGAAGTCGGTTGGAGGACCCAGGAGACGATGATAGGCCTGTGTAGCACAGCTGCGTCCGAGAGGATGTCCGGTGGATCCTCATTGGACTGGACAACAAACTGAAGCGAGTCCGTCGGAACCATCCGAGGGAGGAATCTAACCAATGCACATACACAGCCCTGTCCCCACGCGCAAACCCAGCTGGGTGCCCCATGTGACTCCCTGCCCGTCGAGAGAACGGGTCGAGCCTCAGCACGCTCTCGAGCACGTCGATGATCCGGGACCCGAGCTACAGCGACCAGGCCCTCCAGACGCCCGCACGAAGCCCGCCGCCAGATCCTCCTCGTCCTCCCCTCCCGCACGTGAGGTTGCAAACACGAGCTAATACGGGACCTATGCCGTCCAAGTGTCCCCAGCACGCGCCGATTTCCACGCCCCTCCGGTGGCTGGCAGGCCAGGATGTCTAGCTGCGGCCGGATGTTCGCGATATCCAGGTCCAGCTTCCGCCCGTGCAGCATGCATTCCAGCCATTCTGAAAGATGCAGGCTCGTCATCACCTGCCCGAAGGACTGGTCCGCCTTGGCCAGCTTGATCGAGTCGTCATCGAAATCCTCGATCTGGCCCATCTCCTGGTGATATCCAACAGCGTCGTCACCCTCTGCCCCATCGGACTGGCGCACAATCAACAATCCGTCTCCCTCTGACGAATCAGCCACCACTGATCCTGGTCTTCAGCTTGGTGATCTCATCAATCAACGAGTTCCACTTGGCTCTGTGCTAGCGGAACGACTCTTTGAATACGACCCAGTAGTCAGAGAGCGCGGCAAGCGCGGCAAGCACGGCCTTCTCGTCTATATCAACGACAGCGCGCAGATGGCCGCCACCAATTCGGAGGAGAGGCTGCGCAGTTTTGGAGTCGCTTGCGTGGAGGGCGTATGCGATGTGTGTAATGATGGCGGGCGGTGCGAGCATCTGGTTGGGCTAAGACGAGCAAGGTCAGTAACATTGTTATACGCAAAAAAGATTCATGACAGACCTTGTAGTACAAACACTCGATCACCTTGACGTCGGGCTCGCTCGAGTGCAGCCCGTTGGCGTACCGTTTCCCCGATTGACTCTTCTCCTAGGACCCGTTGTTGCCCTTGCCGCCACCAGACGACGCCCACCAGCTGCTTCACAGGCCGCACGTGCATTGTGCTTGCCGTTATGATCACTTCTGGGATGTGATCTATTCTGGGGCAAATCCCACTTCGGGCTCTGAGGTCAAAGAGTCCCGATTCTGGCAGCGGCGATGTGACGCCCCAGCCCGTCACCGAGAACCGCCTCATGAGCCCACTGCCAGTGAGCTGCGGCACCAGTCTGCGAAGCAGGGCTGCAGCAGTCGATGGGCCGTATGATTGGGCGCAGCCAACGGCTTTCGGAGGTGTCGCATGGGCTCCGGGTTCGGCCTGTCGACTTGGCCCAAGCAGATGCCGCTTCTTCTCCGTCAAATTGACCTGTTTTGATCAGCATTATGCACTGAAAGGCAAAAGAAGAGACATAACATACCAGCGGCTTCAAACGCGGCCTCGTTGAATCCTTGATCCCCCTCAGCAGGATTTACCACGAACACGACTGAAACGGCAGTCACGTTGACCAATTTGATCTGCAGCCCGCATCATTGACAGGCACTGAGAGTGAATCGGAAAGCACGTAAGAAGGAGAAAGCACGAGGGTATGAAAGACGGACATGGGTTGCTGAAGACGCAGATCGATCCGGTCACACGGGTTCCAGAGCCTGTCCAGCCTACATGCGACATGAGGACCTGGTGACATATGGGACTAACAGGTCACACCCACCTTGGCCGCTGCATTGCTCAGCCTAGAGGATAGTTCGACCGGCAGAAGTGGAATCAAACGTCCTGGTTGCCGAGGAGCGACGTTCTTGAGCGCTGCGCAGGACGCGTCAATGACGGAGTTGAATTGAGTGAGACCGGCGGCAGTCTTTGCCGGAGCGTCCTAGACGGGAGGAGCTCTCGCCGTTCTGGACGTGGAGAAGGCGGATTCCACACGCCATGCTAGTCGTTGGCGAGGAACCGAGTGGCGACGGCGACTGGCTGAATGGTAGCGATGGAGGGACCGGGTGAGAAGAAGCTGCCGTCGCCAGAGAGGTAGGCGATCAAGTGGCAGAGAGCGTTGTAGCAGTCGCTGCCGGGACCACAGTCAGCGCCAGTGCACATGGTCTGGTCGGCGACAGAGCACAACTGCGGCATGTAGGCCGTGTGGGACTTGTTGGCTAGAAATGCATGAGTGACGTCCCGGGCTGGCCGAGATTCATTCGACCACTCACCGGCTGGAGGTCCATCACGTTATAGTAGGTTCACAGTGACATCGTATCAGCGCCCGTCGTCGTTCGCAGAGGGTGTCACGTCAGCAGGGTTGGCGTGTGATGAGTGAAGATGAAGAGTCTTGAGAGCTAGCACAGCGTTCTCTACCACCCTGTGATTCTGGCCACAACTGTAGGCGAGTTCACGAGGGGGGGTAGGAACAAAGGCCGGCGCCGTGGTGGACACAAACCACCAGGAGACACGTATTTGCGCTTGTTGCTTTTCGCGGTCACGTGCAGTCGACCCATCGCTTCTGTGGCGACCCGACCGCAGGGTGCCTCGATCATGCGCTACCGTTACCTAGCCAGAATGAGAGCTAGCAGTAAGATAGCGGCGGGTGTCGTGGACAGAAGCAGATATAGACAAGCACAAGACATGTCCGTAGTTTCAGACCAATCGCCTCAGCTCAGGCTCGCGACGGCCGACCGGCCCCTAGTATTCTCCTTACGTAGCACACATATCTAACCATACCACTCACAATAACTCTCCCCAAGTTCATCCATCTGGGGTCACATTCATCACATGAAGCATATATCTCTATACGCCATCGCTTCTCTCCAGTCATAATCCTGTAACACTACCGTTCATTGAATCCCCAATCCATATCCTTCTCCTCATCCTCACTTTTCCAGTGCCTCCACAGTGACGATCACTTGCGTGACGCGAAACTCCTTTCCCGCGCGAAGAACATGGCTTCGGAGATGAGATTGAACGCCTCGTTGAAGGCGCTGTTTCCTTGTGCGGCCATCGTTTTTCGTCGTGCGAGTCGCGGGCCGGTGCCTCCGCTGCCGAACTTTGTGGCAAGGGTGAAGAGGGTCGCGAGGAAGGTCACTGGCAGCGAATACGCGGTGCTATCTATCATCGGTGGGAGCAAAACTGAGCAGCCAATGAGCCTCCAGTAAATCTAGATAAAAGGCACAGAACGCACGGGATCCAAAAGGTTTCACGTCCTCTATATGTCCTGTCCGAAAACCACCTTGGGAACGTCGGCAAGTGCATGTTGGAGGACCGATTGGGAAACATGTCTTATGCGCGAAGGGACCTGTCTGGGATCTGCTAGAACAGACATCGGTCCAATGATCAAAGTACTGGACAGAATTGGGAGGCGCGCAAGGACGTACTGGCAGGCCCAAGCACGACAACTACAATCTCGGAAAGGGTGACGATGTCCGATGTTGCTTATTTTTGACAGTGATACGATTGTACTGCGTTCGATACAGTAGAGTCGAGTTCAAGGAGTTCGTCAACTCACCCTTGCGCTTCTTCTGAGCAGAAAACGCGGGCACCCCTGTCAAGGGTTCCATTCAGCAATTGTCATTCGAAAATAAGAGTTTAGCGAGCGACGACAGGACGAAGACCTCGACGATGTCTCGGTGTTGCCCCATAGACAGCGAGGACTAGCACAGACTGGGTCGGATAGAAGCATGCACTGACAGTGCCAGTGACACCCGGCCTTGCGGACGAATTTGGGATCTTGGAGCCACTGTCGCGGCAGCTGGAAGGCTGTGATGCGGTCTCCAGCGATGCGAGCCCCTGAAGGACTCGACCCACAGCGAGAGCGCCAAAAAACTTGCCGTGCTTGAGCGAGGCACTCGTCGCGCCAAGAGCGCCACCAAACTTTCCGCGAATTGGAGAGGTCAAACAGTTTCAGTCATGCATTGGTCGACAGGCGCTCCAAGACAGGACACAGGAGACGGTCATGGAGATGATGGGTAAGAGTCGGGGTCAACGCCAAGCGAGCCTCGTCTTCCCAATTGCACCTGCGAGCGACAGCAAACAAACGGAAGGCCCGAATCGCAAGTGCCGGCGCCCTGACGAACAGACAGAGGATGGACATGGGGCCGGGCAGGTCATAGACATACTGTTCTGGAGCGAAGAGGATCCCGTCCACCGCGTCAAAGTCGGGAACAGGCAGAACGGGGAGTTTGCAGGCCATACGGAGAAGGCGTCCAAGCGTTTCTTTGTGTGATTCAGCACGATGGGCCCATGCCCCACGATGGAGATGGCTGCACCAGTGTCTTCCTGCAGCACAATCGGCCCGGGGGAGACATCAGAGGGTGGGCCCGGAACTTGCGGTCGATATGAGATGGCGATGAACGAGCCCTAAGTCTTCTTCAAAGTGAACGAATGGCGATGGTATTTCTCTGGGTACAGTGGCTCGGAGCAGAGCCTGGATATCGTTTCGGATTCAAGACTACTGGATTACTGAAAGTCAGGTTAGTCCCCGAAACTGACCAATATACATTCGGTTTTCTGGATCCCGCTCAAATCGTGCGAGCAGCGCACTTGATACCGGACTTCGCGGGTGGAAAGACCAATGCGTTGCTCAGCACTGCATCTCCGACTGCAGCCCGCCATCCGCTGGAAACGGCAGAGTCCAGACTGGGAACCCTACCTTGTTGACATGTACGTTCTTCCCACTGAGGTTCCTGACCCTCACTGATGTTGTCCCGTGGACTCCCTAGATTTGCCAACCGGGATCTGATTATGCGCTATTTGCGGGGGTGGAATTGTGCATCAGTAGGTGGCGACCGGGCTTCCGATCGCAGCAGAGAGCGAAGACACGGAGATGGATGCAGATGGCGACACTGGAAAAGGGAGGATGAGGAGAAAGATGTGGAATAGAGATACAACAAACGGTAGTCTTACAGGATTGCTTACGACTGCAGAGAAGCGATGGCATACAGAGATGATATATGCTACATGTGACAAATGTGACCCCAGATGGATGAACGTAGGGAGCGATCGGTCTGAAACTCCGGACATGTCTTGTGCTTGTCTGTGTCTGCCTCTTTCCAGGACCTTATATCACCGCCAGGTCATATTCTGGCTAAGAAACAGTAGTGCATACTTGAGGACTCCCGCGGTCGGGTCGCTGCGGGAGTGATCGTCGATTGCACGTGACCGCGAAAAGGAGCTAGCGCCAAGACGTGTCCTGGTTGGTGGTGTCCATCACGGCGCCGGCCTTTGTTCCTACCCCCCCTCGTGAACTCGCCTACAGTTGTGGCCAGAATCACAGGGTGGTAGAGAATGCCATTGCCAGCCCTCAAGACTCTTCATCCTCTATCATGACACGCCGATACTGCCAACTGGACCCCGTCACTGTCTCTCTGGCAGGTGACTCTGATTCCTTGGAGGAGACTCTGCTGAAACTACTACAGAGTGTGGAACCGAGCCTACAGCAAGCGCTTCTTTTGGCTCGGACGACATGAGCTGGATATTGATGTAGTCCGGCACGACGGCTGTTCTTTCCAGCGAGCCTCGTTCACACCGGGTCCATGGCGCTCTGCTTGCAATCCCAAGGCTGCAGCATTCGACGGGCTACTCGCTCAGAGGGTGGATACAGAGAGGACGTGTCACTCACGGCGGATGGCGAGCTTCACCGGTGGCACAAGCGTTCGTGTGGTACTGGCCGAACGTTTTCACCTTCCGGCGGTGTGCTCATTTGATTCCAGAGCTGCAACAGGCTCACCTTCCATCCTGTCAAAGATTTGTGGCCAATGTGTCCGGTTGCGCAGCGATTGCATGTTTGTGTTATCTCCTCCCTGCATCACGGCCACTGACTATAGGGCAGACGTTCTACCGGTCTGAGGATCAGCATGTCGTCTTACATGTCCCCGTCTACTTGGTCCTTAGTTTCTTCCTGAACATTGGCGGATTCTACACCCACTCGTTTGCGATCTGGCTTGCGTGCATGGCCGTGTTCCCTGCTGTGGGTAATGCGGCTTACACAGTGCGCGAGTACCGGCTAGGGCATCACGAACGGCCTTGCTGGCAAATGATCTCGGGGCTCGGTGTCTGCCTCTCTGCCCGACGCAATCCCAGGCAAAGATCTCTCTTGCCGTCCAGAGTGTTTGAATGGCAGCTCAGGTGAATGGGCGCCTTGGTCAGCTCCAAGTCCACTACTTATGCTCCTCTCTTCCCTAGCTAGTCCGTGCATTCCAGATGAATGGTACCCCAGTTTCCAGTCCTGTAGTGTCTCTGGCGCCTCGATAGAACCCGCCGATTCCACGATCCGGCGCATTGCTGCTCTTCCGGGCGGGTGGAGGAAGAAGATCAGGAGGGCATGGCCAAGCTCACTGACACGGTCGCTTCACCCCGATTCAGTTTTGCCGAAGAGCCGCTGCCTAGTAATCGATTGTGGATGATTTTCGACGGCTGGTTGAGTGGGGGCTCGATACGAGACACCGTCGTATATAGAACCGACCTCGGCAGTAGAGATCCGCAATACCGTCGTTCGCGAACCGAAATTTGTGCCGCACTTGACCGGCGGCGGACTGAATGACGCTGGGGGGATCAAGGATTCGACGACGCCGCGTTTGAAGCCGCTGGTATGTTATGTCTCTTCTTTTGCCTTTCAGTGCACCATGCTGATCAAAACAGGTCAATTTGACGGAGAAGAAGCGGCATCTACTTGGGCCAAGTCGACAGGCCGAACCCGGAGCCCATGCGACACCTCCGAAAGCCGTTGGCTGCGCCAGTCATACGGCCCATGGACTACTGCAGCCCTGCTTCGCAGACTGGTGCCGCAGCTTACTGGCAGTGGGCTCATGCAATGGTCATTAGTGACAGGCTGGGGCATCACATCACCGCTGTCAGAATCAGGACGCTTTGACCTCAGAGCCCGAAGTGGGATCTGCCCCGGAAGAGATCACACCACAAAGCACGGGTGGCCGGTGAAGCAGCTGGTGGGCGTCGTCCAGTGGCGACAAGGGCAGCAACGGGTCCTAAGGAGAAGAGTACTAGTCAATCGGGGGAACGGTACGTCAACGGGCTGCACTCGAGCGAGCCCGACGTCAAGGTGATCGAGTGTTTGTACTACAAGGTCTGTCATGAATCTTTTTTGCGTATAACAATGTTACTGACCTTGCTCGTCTTAGCCCAACCAGATGCTCGCACCGCCCGCCATCATTACACACATCGCATACGCCCTCCACGCAAGCGACTCCAAAACTGCGCAGCCTCTCCTCCGAATTGGTGGCGGCCATCTGCGCGCTGTCGTTGATAGAGACGAGAAGGCCGTGCTTGCCGCGCTTGCCGCGCTCTCTGACTACTGGGTCGTATTCAAAGAGTCGTTCCGCTAGCACAGAGCCAAGTGGAACTCGTTGATTGATGAGATCACCAAGCTGAAGACCAGGATCAGTGGTGGCTGATTCGTCAGAGGGAGACGGATTGTTGATTGTGCGCCAGTCCGATGGGGCAGAGGGTGACGACGCTGTTGGATATCACCAGGAGATGGGCCAGATCGAGGATTTCGATGACGACTCGATCAAGCTGGCCAAGGCGGACCAGTCCTTCGGGCAGGTGATGACGAGCCTGCATCTTTCAGAATGGCTGGAATGCATGCTGCACGGGCGGAAGCTGGACCTGGATATCGCGAACATCCGGCCGCAGCTAGACATCCTGGCCTGCCAGCCACCGGAGGGGCGTGGAAATCGGCGCGTGCTGGGGACACTTGGACGGCATAGGTCCCGTATTAGCTCGTGTTTGCAACCTCACGTGCGGGAGGGGAGGACGAGGAGGATCTGGCGGCGGGCTTCGTGCGGGCGTCTGGAGGGCCTGGTCGCTGTAGCTCGGGTCCCGGATCATCGACGTGCTCGAGAGCGTGCTGAGGCTCGACCCGTTCTCTCGACGGGCAGGGAGTCACATGGGGCACCCAGCTGGGTTTGCGCGTGGGGACAGGGCTGTGTATGTGCATTGGTTAGATTCCTCCCTCGGATGGTTCCGACGGACTCGCTTCAGTTTGTTGTCCAGTCCAATGAGGATCCACCGGACATCCTCTCGGACGCAGCTGTGCTACACAGGCCTATCATCGTCTCCTGGGTCCTCCAACCGACTTCCACGCGCGCAATGTATGGTTCGAGACTTTCATGGGATTTGATGTTGCTACCCAGTGCCCAATCGGCCGGTCTGATTCAGATCAAGTGTCCATTGACTCGGATGCCACCCCCACCCTTTCCTTCTTTCACCGCCGCGATCTGCTTCCAAAGGAGCTATTGCGGATCATCGCCCACGTCACAGAGCCTGCGTTTGGTCTGTTCTGCTACTCGCTGCATGTTTTACTCTGGGATATCCCGCCCGACTTTCTGCGGCAGTACAGAAATCAAATCTAGGTCCTGCTCCCATGTCTGGCGCCGACAGCAACCGCGTCTCATCTAGTGCAGCGGGATATTCGAATGCGTTGGATGCGCCGTCGATGAACGGCCCGAGGGAGTGGACTGAGCACATCCACTCAGTGGTGAAGACCTCGGGCTCGCGTTCCTCCGGGCTCGTCGCTGGACGGGCAGATATGCGCACATGCGAGGACAGTTTGTCCGTCAATACATAGTATCTTCATGTGCGATTTTCGAGAGTCACGCGTCGAGCCTGATCCAGCATTTCCCCCTCGTTTCCCCTTGAAGTCTGCATTCATATCGTACAATGTATCTAGATTATGTGTGTGTAAAACTGCATCTCATCTGTCCTTGCCAAAGAAAGAGTCAAAGGGACCCTCCGAGACCACCGCGCAGCCTTTGGCTCGGGACTGGGTCATCTCCTTGGGGTCCAACTGCCCGATGCTAGTAGCCAGCACGTGAATGAGCGCCTTCAACGTATAGTCTTCAGTTGGTCTCGACTTCATAGCCTTGCGACAACTCGGGCATGTGTATTGGGGCTGAGAAGTTTGGTAGCGCCAGGTGACCATTCCAGCTATGGCTGGGTTTCTCGGCTCGTATGCAAAGGCTGGTGGCAGGCTGGGGACGCCAGGACGCCAGTGCGGATGCGTGTTCCTGTGTTGGGCGAGGCAGGCACCTGAAGACACATGTCAAAGCTAACCCGGCAACGCGTCCTTCAGGCTCACTCAGCCACTTGACTAGGCAATCGACGCAGAACGTGTGACCGCAGTCGTTCAGACTGAAAGCGGATTAGAACAGGACGGAAACGGAACTCAAGGCAGTTCGTACATGTACGGCTTCCACATCGTTGTTGTACAAATCTGGTGACCGAGTGAGAACTGTATTGTGTGCGATCAGGAAACGGGCCTACTCTGCAACAGATGTGCCAGTGATGGTCAAAGTTGATGACATCCTAAATGATAACGAGTAGAGGACCGGTGGGAAGAGGCACACTCGAGACGATGATGGGGAGGTCGTCAGGACTGCTCCGATCGGTGTTCAAGCAGTGTTCGCGTTTTGAGGATGTACCCGGGTCCATGAGAGTAGATGGGAGCGGTCAAGAAAGAAAGGGTGGATTCAACGGACACTTGATCCCATCATATGCTGCAAAGCTCGTCGAGTCCACATGCTCGTGCCCATGTCAGTCTGATAAAACATGGTACTTGGCACTAGTAGTATAAGAGGTCAGACACATGGTCAGACACGATGATGGCGATGGCGGCGGCGGCCCGCTGCCCGGTGCAGGTACTTGCAACCACCGATTGTTGGCGGTGGGGGCGAAGGAGGCGGGGACGATCCTTTCATTCCCAACTCGGGAGGCGGGACAAACCACGTCGGCGACCCAGCGGCTGCGATCGGGGCGTATTCGGCTCCACTGGCGCGGTGCGTGCAGCTCTGAATTCCTTCTCCATCATGGTGGGTTTGGCCGCCACTTTGGCCTGGAGCTCGTTGAGCTCAACCACCAGAGCCGCGATCCCCCCGTCTTTGCGCGTCAGACTGTCGATCGTGCGTGAGGCCATTATTGCAGCGTCCATGTCGGATTCCTCCTTGGAACCTTTGCGCGAGAGAAAGTGCGTGTGGACCGACTCGACTGCCTGCTTCAGAGAGATAAGTGCTCTCCTCGTCTTTGAATTCCTTCTCCATCATATTCAAGCTCCGCGTTCTGCAGCATAGCTTCAACAATCCGTCTCCATGCGACAAACCAGCCACCACTCACCTTGGTCTTCGGCATGGCAATCTCATGGGTCAACTGGTTCTGCTTGGCTCTGTCCAGCTGCCGTTTCGCCCGATCGTCCTGCAGGATGTTCCTCAGCGAGGGAAGCAGCATGAAGCGAGCATCGGACGCACCACTTCGCGAGCTTCACCCTGATTCTGAGCCCTCGACCGATCTGCCTCGGCGGAGCTGGAGGACCAGCTTCTCATTCTGGACCAGTTGCTGCACCAGTCCATGCAAGTTCTACGCCATTCACTGTGCTCAGAGTGGAGACACGCAAACAGATAGCGAAGCTCACCTGACCAGTCTCATCCACGGCAGGAAACCCACAGATCATCGAGCATTGCTGCCAGCGGAACGGCTATTGGAATTCGACCCAGTAGTCAGATAGCGCGGCGAGCACGGCCTTCTCGTCTCTATCAACGACAGCGCGCAGATGGCCGCCACCAATTCGGAGGAGAGGCTGCGCAGTTTTGGAGTCGCTTGCGTGGAGGGCGTATGCGATGTGTGTAATGATGGCGGGCGGTGCGAGCATCTGGTTGGGCTAAGACGAGCAAGGTCAGTAACATTGTTATACGCAAAAAAGATTCATGACAGACCTTGTAGTACAAACACTCGATCACCTTGACGTCGGGCTCGCTCGAGTGCAGCCCGTTGACGTACCGTTTCCCCGATTGACTAGTACTCTTCTCCTTAGGACCCGTTGCTGCCCTTGTCGCCACTGGACGACGCCCACTAGCTGCTTCACCGGCCACCCGTGCTTTGTGGTGTGATCTCTTCCGGGGCAGATCCCACTTCGGGCTCTGAGGTCAAAGAGTCCTGATTCTGACAGCGGTGATGTGACGCCCCAGCCTGTCACTAATGACCATTGCATGAGCCCACTGCCAGTAAGCTGCGGCACCAGTCTGCGAAGCAGGGCTGCAGCAGTCGATGGGCCGTATGATTGGGCGCAGCCAACGGCTTTCGGAGGTGTCGCATGGGCTCCGGGTTCGGCCTGTCGACTTGGCCCAAGCAGATGCCGCTTCTTCTCCGTCAAATTGACCTGTTTTGATCAGCATTATGCACTGAAAGGCAAAAGAAGAGACATAACATACCAGCGGCTTCAAACGCGGCCTCGGATTTACCATCAACACGACTGAAACGGCAGTCACGTTGACCAATTTGATCTACAGCCCCCATCGTTGACAGGCACTGAGAGTGAAGCGGAAAGCACGTAAGAAGGAGAAAGCACGAGGGTATGAAAGACAGACATGGGTTGCTGAAGACGCAGATCGATCCGGTCACACGGGTTCCAGAGCCTGTCCAGCCTACATGCGACATGAGGACCTGGTGACATATGGGACTAACAGTGGTTCACAGTGACATCGTATCAGCGCCCGTGGTCGTTCGCAGAGGGTGTCACGTCAGCAGGGTTGGCGTGTGATGAGTGAAGATGAAGAGTCTTGAGAGCTAGCACAGCGTTCTCTACCACCCTGTGATTCTGGCCACAACTGTAGGCGAGTTCACGAGGGGGGGTAGGAACAAAGGCCGGCACCGTGGTGGACACAAACCACCAGGAGACACGTATTTGCGCTTGTTGCTTTTCGCGGTCACGTGCAGTCGACCCATCGCTTCTGTGGCGACCCGACCGCAGGGTGCCTCGATCATGCGCTACTGTTACCTAGCCAGAATGAGAGCTAGCATTAAGATAGCGGCGGGTGTCGTGGACAGAAGCAGATATAGACAAGCACGAGACATGTCCGTAATTTCAGACTGATTGCCCACCTTGGTCACCCCCCAAATCCTACCAGTTAGGTAGGTTTTTCCGGCGCCCAAAACCTACCTGAGTGGTAGCGGGCGGATGGGCGGCGGGCGTTCATTTCGCAAATTGCGATCCTTGGGCGGCCCATTGTTCACGGTTCCAGGCGCCCGTGGGCGGCAGCCCGGGCAGACCCAACCCCGCCCGGGGTCCTAGCGCGCGCAGCGCTAGAGATTTTTGGCCATTTTACGTCCCGTTTAGGAAGTTAAAGTCGATTTCTATTGCCTTCGTTGCACACAAAATACATTTGTTTTGTTTCCTACTTATCACCCGTGTGTACACGATGCCAATTAAATATCCATGTAGCTTTTTTGCCTTCAATCAATCATCGATGCTGAAAATCTCTGCATCAGGGGGCGACGGCCTGCGTCGCGATTCTCGCTGCGTCCGCGCCCACTCGTCCACATCTATGACTTCGCCCAGACGTTCTGCTTTTTCAAGCTTTTCCCTCTCAATTCTTCTGTGCTCTTGATCCAATAATTTTGTCATTGAGACTACGCACGCGTTTATACCGCAAGCCTTACCTTTTTCGAATGCCCTCTTCCGTTCGAACGAACGCGCTTGTTCCAGGTGTTTTAGTAATTTAACTTGTTGTGTTGTGTACCTAGCAAGCCTACCTCGCGCACGACGTTCTGCGAGATGATGCTCAAATTCATCCTCTGGCTCTCGCTCGCTCTCGCTCTCACTTTCCTCGCTGTCCTCCGTCTCCGGTTCCTCGTCGTCGTCAGATCGGATGATTGCTCCGCCCCACCCATGGCGGATTCTCCGCACTCGGCGCCGAGCCCTACGAGCGGCCAAACGGACCGTATTTCGGTATCTCTCCTCAGGCGAAACGCGCTGTCGACTCGCGGCCCTGAATGGCATTGCATCAGAGCACTCAAATTCTGGACTGGGGGGACGGACTCACTGCATGCGAGGAGCGGGAGAGCGTAACACCAAGCGGGCACGTTTCTTTTCAAGCTGTTTGGGTGTCAGGGGTTTGGGTCTGCAAATGTGAGCAATGGCAGTGGAGCGCGTTCGGTACAAGACGGACTTGTAAGTAATGCGCCGCATCGTCCGTGGTTGAAGGCAAAGTTGAACAGTCACGGTCACCGTGACAAGGGTCATATAGAGGGTCGCTGCCGGTTATGGGCACGGCATAAGGAGGTGCCGATTGATCCTTCGTTGGTCGGCCGGTGCGTGGGCGCCCGTGTCGTAAGTCTGGGCGCCCGTGATCAGGTGTGGGCGCCCTTGAATTGTTGTGGGCGCCCGTAGTTTGCTGTGGGCGCCCGTGCGTCTTGTTGTGGGCGCCCGTAGTTTGCTGTGGGCGCCCGTGATGGGATCTGGGCGCCCGTAGTTTGGTGTGGGCGCCCGTCACTGGTGTCAGGGCAATCAACACAATACAGTGATACAGTACAGGGAGCATTCAGTTACATAGTACGTAGCGTTAGAACATGAAATAAGCATTATCTAGCTCGGCACTGGATGCATTTGGAACGAGAAATCCGGTGGCAGCGCTACACAACAAGTCCCAGCCCAAATCACACTGGACCAATTGTACTCAATCACAGACATGTCCTGCTCTGCTCCGCGTACCAACGACACCAGGGCCGCTGTGGATGGCATTGCCACTGGGGCGGACTTGATTAACGCGCGACACATCGGACAAGAGAACACGTCGGCCTCTTGGATCCACATACGTATGCATCCGTAACAGAATTTGTGCCCACAAGTGACCCTGGGTGAAGGCCAATCCACCTCAGTTACCACCGCCAACCCCCCATATAGACCCCGCGGGGGACGGGCTACATGAAAGTGCCGCGGAGTGCTGTTGGAGTGCCGCAAAACATTTGGAGTGCCGCATGTTCGAGCCTGGAGTGCCGCAGGATTTCTGTCACACGCCGCAGACGTCACGCTGGAGTGCCGCAGCGACCTACGGGGCAGGGTATTTACATATCTATGTTTGTACAATTTCATTGAAAGTACTCAAAAAAGCAATCGGCAGGCCAAGGCATTCTCACCATATTTCTGAGCAATGGTCCTCGCGGCGCTGATGTCCCATCAATATGGTTTGATGGCTTTCTGAGCGGCCGTTTTTGCTCACTCTTGTGAGTCCACTTCGTTGCAGAGCCCAGAACGAAGTCGAGAACAATCTATACAGCTGATTTATTGGTTTCTATAATAGTTAGAGGCATTCACCATTGCCCAAATGTCGAAACAATACAATACCTCATGGATTCAGCTTCACTAGAATGTGTATAACTCATTTTTTATCCATTTCGAACGTAAATCATACCCAATAGGTGGTATTAAAA